GCGGTTTTACCTCAGCGGTCCCTCCGCTAGCGCGGGACGCGCCTGGATCCTCCCTCGTCTCGAGTTTGGGGGAGAGGCGTTCTCCTCAGCTGCGGGAGGGGCCATGGCCCGGGCACCCCCCCCCCACCCAGGCAAGTCGCCCTCCTCTGGGCTGGAGCAAAGGGCCGCAATCGGGACGTCCCACCCTTCTGGGGGGACAGCAGCGCCCTAGGGTCTCCCTACGCCCTCGGGGGGATGTATTTAATGGATATTTGGTTTAAAGGGTGTTTGCTGTCCAAGAAACGAGAGAGCGGCCGCTGCTGCAGGTATGCGGTAAGCAAAAAGCAGGCTCCGTCTTCAGAAATGGAAAGAGACAACTTCTGTGCCTCAAACGCACCCCGGGTCGGACCGAAGCGCGGGAGAGAAAACCGCCTCCCGCCCGCTCCCCGGTTGTGTTAAGCGCCCGGCTCGTCCCATAGACGAGGAAGGAAGCATGTGGCGATGTGTTGTGTCTCCCTCGATCGCATCCTGTCGGTGCCATCTGGCTCGCGAGTGTTTTTGCATTTGTATGATGCAATGTTTTGGGTCCCCCGCGGCTGTTTGGCGACACGGTGTCTTTCTTCCTTCAGCAGCGAGAAATAAATACAGCGCGCGGCTTTTTTTCCCCTCCGCGTTAAACACGGGGCAGGCTCGTTAAGGAAACATACCTTGGAGGGTCCTGCTCTTAACGGGTTTCAAACCTTTCAAAGCAGGTGTCCAGACATTGCAGTGGGAGAGGAGTTAAAGCTCTTCAGCCGTGTTTTGGGAATTGGCCGCGTAGCCCAGGTGGCAGAGTTGTGATCGGGAAACTCGTGTTAATTCTTCTTGCGTTTTGCAGCAGTTTTATTTATTAGGTGGTACACTCAACATGACAGATTTGTCCCCTCTCTGTTCTGAGAGGGAAGGGTGTTTTGTAACATCTTTTATTGAACCAGCTGCATAGTTTGGGGAGAGATTGGCCCAAGCCTTCGGGCAGTTTGTGTCCTTGGTCTCCCCCCGCTGTAGTTCAGTAAAAGATGCTACAAAACACACTTCCTCTTGTACGTCTCCTGGCCCATTGACTAGTACAAGAGCACTCCAATCCTCTACATCAGCGGTTCCCAACCTGACAGGTTGTACACCACCAATTTAAAGTGATACAACCTTAAAAAGTACCACCAGCAATTTTTTCAGTTGAATCTTAAGTACCATCAGCAAATTTTTTGTCGTATAAAGTAATTATTATAAACCTGTTTAATGCGTATTGCTGGTGGTATGCGTACCACAGCTTGGGAACCGCTGCTCTACGATGTGGAAGAGGACCCAATTCTGTGGAGGTGAAGATGGTAGCAGACTTCAGAGAAACTTTTGCAGCCGGTGATTGCTGATTTGTGCGTCTGTCTTGTCAAAATGTTTTAAATCCTAGAAGCAAAGGTTCTGTATCAGGGTGGGCAATTATTTGTGCTGGAGGGCCACTTAATGAATTTTGGTGAGCTACTGGGGGGAGGGGAGGGCAGAAGGAGGAGCAACAGCCAGGTTGACGGCAGTCAATCCTATCCGGCCTGCCAGCCACCTCTGGGGGCCTGAGGAGGGAGGCCTGCACCCTGCACTTCTCCACTGAGCTGCAGCTAGGGCTGGGCTGGGCTGGGCTGGGCCGTGCAATGTACAGACTCCTCCATGCCCCGCGTTCATCCTCGGGCTTTTGGTAGGGGCGGCCGGCAGGCTGGATATGGCCAATGGGTCATATTTTACCCACGTGTGCTCTCTATGCTTACATTTATATATTTTTATTTATTTATTCATTCATTTATATAAGTACAGTAAAAGCTCCGTTAACTGTCACCTTACAAGCCGGCATGTTCCATTAACCGGCATGCCGGCTTGTAAGGTAAAGTGAAACTGGAAGTGCCCACCATGGCACTTCCAGTTTCTCCAAGCCCCCACAGCCTGAGGCAAAGCAGCCTGTGCTGCTGAGTCCCCGCAGCCCAGGGCATAGCAGGCTGCATGGGGCCCCCCTCCCTGTCCCTCAGGGCCCATGGGAGGGTCGGCAATACCTCAGGAGGGGCAGCGATGCAGCAGGAGAAGAGGCAGCCCAAACAGGCAAAGACATCTGTTTAGGCCTCTCAGTTAACTAGCATATTTTGTTATCCTGCACTACCCCCCCCCCCCCCCCCCCCCCCCCACCCCTGTTCCCCATGGGTGCCAGATAACAAAGCTTTTACTGTATATGAAATCGGTTAAAATGTCGATTATTTATACATACAGTATTAGGTACAGTTGTCCATAATGTTGGTTTGTGGTAATACTCAGGTAAGGATTTGGGACCTGTTGACTGGGACAGACTGAACTCAACACAGAATAGATTTTTCAGTTGCCCAAGTGATCTGGGAGCACAAATCCCGTTGACAGTCAGTGCTCTTGAATAGTCTCCAATGGCTTCTATCCCAAGGAACCTATAATTGAAGATACGTGTACAAGCAGTATGTCAGATATGTATGGACATTTTTGTCATGACATTCATCTGCTAGCCTAGGTGCCTTAGATAAATAATGCAAAAATAGAACCAAATCCTCCAGGGAAAACTTCATCCTGGTCACAAGTCAGTGTGTGGGGTTTTTCTTTATCATGTCCTAAGCTCTTCAGATATACACATACACTTTCTGCTGTGTTGGCATGTTAATTATATTAATCTGCCCTGAAGTTGATTATTAGTTGATTATCTGGCTTTTTAATGGAGACTAGGACAGAGTTCTTGAGGAGGATTTGAGCGAGAAAGGTGTGGTTTTGTGGAGAAACTTGAGGACATTACATACATAAGAAATGGTAACTAAGTCACACAGGGGTCTGTATGAAACGCATTTTTTCTGTGCAGTTGCTGTGTATCAGGGAGGATGCTGAAACATTTGTGGTAACTTACTATTTATTTCTCTTTTCTCTAATACAATGTGTTCATTGCATGACAACTATATGTTATATAGTTGTATGTGGGATGTGCAATGCACTGTTTGTGAGAGAGGAGAGAGATTCCTTTCCTCCCTCTTTGTGCTGATGAATAGATCCAAAAAAAAGTCTTTTACCTTGGCTCTGTAGCCTGTTCCACAGGGTAAGTACATCAGTTTTCCTGGGAACCATATCCTTTTGGTTATTGCTTGGAAGAGAAACTGTTGTGTAGAAAATAGCAGGATGGTTAAGTGAAAACTAAATAGCTTGTACCAGGGGTGGGCAAAATGCGGGCCGAATGCGGCCCACCAGGCCATTCTATCCAGCCGACAGGGCCCCTTACATTTTCTAAATTTTGTTATATTTAGCTGCCCCTGACAACCTATCATGCGGCCCTCGATGGCTTGCCAAAACTCGGTAAGTGGCCCTCTGCCCGAAATAATTGCCCACCCCTGGCTTGTACTCTTAAGGACAGGCACCTACTTCCTAGCTAATCCCGAGTGGTCAGAATGTGGAGTTCTAACATCAGGCGTTGTGCTCGATGGAGTGAGGCGCAGGGGGCAGGGTGTCGGGAGATGTGGGCTGTCTGTGCAATAGATAAAAATAAAAACAAAAAGCAAACAAAACATATTGTATGCTATATAAAACTGAAAGGCTGCACAGGATAGGTAATTGCTCTTCAAAGCGAGCATTTAGGTCTGTGGTTTCTACAGTGCAGTGTTAGCCAGTGAGGCTCTTAATATAGTGGTAATGGAAAGACTTCTGACCAATCAAAAAGTCTCATTCATGAAGTTGGTGTCAACTGCCAATGGCTGAAGTGTGGTAACTGTGATCTTGGTAGAAAGGATTGCAGCAGACAGGCTAAACTAAGACAGAGTTGCACATTGAAGCCTTAGAATCAAGCCTAAGCAGCATGAGATTTAGCGTCTGGATTCCCAAAATGTTGGTCTTAAAACACATTGCTGGTTTGTGATCAGTGATAGAACTGTCTGGGGTAAATGTGCACACATGTTTCTGTCATATATGTAACAAAGAGCTTTTAATGTAATCCTAATAATTGAATTTTGTCTGAAACAACTGGTTATCCTGGGGCCTGTTGTAATTCCTGTTTGCTGCCTCTTTGCTAAAATATATGCAAAACAAGCACTGGGTATGTAGACAGGCAAATACATTTCATAGTGCAAAACTGCGGAATAATGCATGGTTGCATTTTTAGGATGTATGCCGGTGGTCTCTGGTAATGAACAACTTCAGCAGTTGAATTTTGTCTTTCATTAACCTCACTGGTGGGCTGCCTGCAGCCTTTTTTAACTTACCAATGCAAATACTTGCCAAGGCTTTTTCTGTAAGAGCTATTAGGAAGAACTAGTGATGTATCTGATTTCTCATGTGCTTTCAGCATAGCTTCCTAGTATGTTTACATGTATTATTGATAAGGGAGGTCTGCTTCTTTTGTCTAACTGGAATATTTTAAAACACCCAGGTGGCTTCTTACAGTAGCAAAGACTGAAATGAAATGAATGTGAGATCATGCACAGCAGCTCGGGCAGTACAATTTGATTAGAATTCTAATAAAACAGCAGACGGACATCACCTTGTCTTGATTTTTGCCTTTTAATAAAAAGTGTTAGCTGGGTGTTTATGTAGCTGAATAGAAGCACTCATCTGTGAAGCCAGAGGACACGGCACGCAACTTCTTGAAGGGTTTCTTTAAGATATTTACACGAGAGAGGTGGATGAAGGCTGCCCAAAGTTCAACCCACCGTGTTTTAGAGGGTGGCCTCTGACTGCATTCTTTCTGTAACAGCAGGGTGAGGACGGAGCCTATCAACAAGTGAAGTGCTAGGGAACTTGATAAAGAATTCTTAATCATACCTATATGTTTTAACATGACATACCAATAAATAGGGTCAATGTGTATTCATCTTCCCTGGAAGATTCTAATATGGGGCATTCCATCTCTCTTTTCTCTTTTTCTTCACTTCAAATGAAAATGAATGGAAATGTATGTTATTTGTAAACTAAGTATAGCTTTCTTGCAGCCTGTCAGTTAGGCCTGCCTGGCAAATTTAGGCACCCCTTTTCAAAACAAGTAATCCTGTAGGCTGCATTTAAGCATGGTGAGTTTGAAGTGCTCCAAATTGGAGCATTTCAAATGCATATCTGTCCATATGCATAGGTTCTATCCTGCAGGCTTTCTGTTTGTCTCAAGGTGAATTAAAACGTGTTCAAGGATAGCTGGACTTCAGCCGTGGCCTGGACCCACAGACTTTGAATATAAAGATGCATGGCCTTGTGTGCCTCCAGAGGGTATTGGTCTTGGGTATGAGGGTTGCAGAACAGGAGCAATGGGGATGGAATCTGGAATGCTGTGAATTGCCATGATTTTCTACTTTGGACAAGGCCGCACATTGTGCCAGCATACTCCCAGTTTCTTAGCTCAGTGGAGATGAAAGAAAATGAGGCTTCATACTAGAGAAGCTCTTTAAGATCTTTTTATGCAGTGCAAAGGCATATTATCCTGAATTACCTGTCCCGGGGATAAACTAATAACCCAAACAACTTGCTTAACCAGAGACCTCTAAAACTCTTGAGTAATAGAATGAACATGTGTGAAGCTGCTAAATCTTGTTTTTGTTGGCTTGGTGTGTGAGGCCTTGCAGTCCACTTGATGGCATTTCTGCTTTTTTATGTCTATAAAACAATGGCTTTTGAATGCTACAGATAATTCAGAAACTTGAAGGCATGTTCTAGATATCAGTGGGCAGAATCCTACTATTGATGTTGGAGAAAATTGCGAAAGCACATGGGATGAATGTAGCTCCTGCCATCTGGTGAGCAGAGCCACTGGTTATAAGCACCTCTACAGTAATGTATAGATCAGAGTACTGGCTGACATCATTGAAAACCTTCCAGAATAACAATAGCCCTTTGTTATCTCAGTCTGTCCTTCTGATGGAGTTTTATATGGAAAGGATAAATAAGGGCGGGGAAGGGAAGGGGAGACTCATCCAGCTGCAAATGCTCTGAGTGGGTGGGAAATGCAATATTGGTGTGAAAAGATACATAATCCTGGCATGGAGATGGCATGGGAGGGGTGAGTGCGTAGGAGGAGTTTCAGAAAGCCCCTGAATTAGATTGTGGGACAGGCACATGAGAGACATGGGGAGAACAGAGAGGTAGGTAAAACTTGCTGCACACACCAGCACAAGCTCTGTCTGCAGAAGCAGCGATGCTTGTGTCCTTTAAATGTTAAAAAGGGACAAATTGGTGTTTGAGATGCCTTGTAGAAAAGGTTCTGCCAGCCTTCATCTGAACTGAATTTTCACTGAGGTTGTCAACCATAGAAATACCTTGTGTCCAGGGTGGATAAAAATCAACAATGAAAAAAAATAGGATTTTTTATTTAAATCAGATGTTTTCTGTTTTATTAATCATATTTTTGATGGGGTTTTTTTGTTAACATGCTTAAAAAAAACCCAACCCTATATAAAGATAGTTTTAATTTAAAACATGTTAAAGCTCAAAGATCACCCTGGAATAGGGGTTATAACGTTTAATTATATACTATTTGAGATGATATATTCATGTAACCTTTTTAGAAAAGTTTTATAAGTAGGTCACAGGAGGCTATGGACTATATTAGAGGCCCAATCTTATGGGGTTCTCAGAGGCTACTCCATAGATTAGTAAAGATTAAAGAAAACCACTCTACCCAACAGGACTCGGTGCTCAGTCTAGAAGATCCCATTAAGCATCTCTGTGATGCTTAGTTTTAGTTCTCAAACTGTGGATTTGTGTCTCCAGAGATAACATCCTTGTTAAGCAATATATGGAGATGAGAGAAAACAGATCTGATTACTTACCCATCAGCCCTCTTGTCTCTCTGCAAGTTCGTGTACACAGTCAAGCCCTTACCTTTCTCTAAAAGTACAACATTTCAAGAAGTTAAATGAATACAGGATATCAAATAACAAGAATGCACTTTTTGTAGAAGTCAGTCATTAAATCAAGGCTTCCAGACCAGTGATTTAAATCAATTTGATTTAAATCAAGTCCACCCTGCTTATGTCTAATCTGGTAGATTATTGAAGGGTGGGGTGTTACATTACTGGGGTTAGCAGGGAAGGTTAGGAGCAAGTAGTTTGATGCCTAGCTTAATTTAAAAAAGGGAGGGTGCAGATCTAAATGCTGTATAGTCTGGTTTAAAGTAAATCCTTATGAATATCTTTTTCTCAGACTCTTTTCTGTGCTACCGTGACAGATTCTAATAATGTACAAGTAAAATGTATTATTGGGTGCTTACCCGCTTGTGGTTGACATGCTAAAAATTGTTAACATTGTGGTCTACATCTAAACTATTTAGAAGATGACTTACATTGAGTTTAAAATAATATGTAAACACTTGAGAATTTTTTGGGTATCTCTTCCATTAAGGCAAGGAAATTCTTTCTTTTGAACAATCTTTCTAAACCAGGGGCAGGCAAAATATGGTTCATGGCCCGGATCCAGCCCGCGGGTGCCCATCAACTAACTGTATCCCACCCAGCCCACGTACCTTGCACGCATCTGGTGAGCAGAAGGGCTCAGCCCAGCCAGCACACGCATCTTCTGGGCAGGGCTGCTTCTGCCACTGCTGCAGCTGCTGAGGCACCTGCTTGGCTTCCTTGGCCTCCAGCAGCTCCTCCTTGTCTCCCTGCTGCAGCGCTTGCTCCGGGGAGCATGTAGGGAAGAGGTGGGGGTGGGGAAGCTGCACTGGGGGTTGGGGGAGAGCTGCTGCTGGGCAGGGGTAGGGAGCTGGCAGGAGTGCAGAGCCCATGCCCAAGGGTGCGGTGGGAGAGTGGAGCTTGGGTGGGCAGGGTGTGTCCCCCTCCTGTGGGTGCACATCCCTTGCCAGTGGTGGCAGCAGCAGGTGGGGGCCCTTAGGGTGCTTGTGGCACTGCCATCCAGCAGCTCACATCTCTGGCCAGAGCTGCATATAACAGCAAGGCGTACAGCCACTCTGGCCTGCCTCTGTTGAGTGGGGCTCTACCCAGTGCACTTATACCTCCTGGCATTTGCTTACCATCAGGGAAAGCCCCACGTGATGGAGCCAGCTGCCTTCCCTGCCATGTGCAGGTGCCGGGACTCCACCAGAAGTGCCAGGGAGCCCTGCCCCCTGCCTTGGTAGTGCACAAGTGCCAGGAGTTGCACGTGTCCTGTGAGGAGCCCTGTGCAGTGGAGGTGGGCTAGCCAGGCTGTGCTCCTTGCTACCATGTGCAGCTCTGGCTGGAGCCACGGACCACCAGGCAACAGTGCCTGTGCAGGCCACAAGTGTCCTGAGGGCCCGCTACCTGCTGCTGCTGGTCATGGCAGGGGCTGTGCGCCATGGGGGGAAGCATGTGGGGGGGTCCTCACAGCCCGCCCATCCTCCCTCACACCCCATAAACCCCGCATACCTACATTCTGCCTCCACAGCCTCCCCACATATACATACACACACCCTGCAACATACCCTATATTCCCCTATCCACACTTGCACCCCCCCCAACTACACCCCACACACAAAATATCAGTGTAAGACTTTATTTTGACCTATTATGCAGTCACCTCCATATACACTACACTACACTACACAAACACAAATCATGACACACATTTTTTGTAATAAAATGTAAATGTTATAGTACGTTTGACTTCTAGTATATGATTTGGGGTTTTTTTTCTAGTTCAGATGCCCCCAGCCACAAGGAGTGCTTCTGGGGGCAAGGGGAAGAACTTCTGGTAGCAAAAGTCAGGAGTTAGGGGCAGGACTTCTGGTCTCAAGACAGAAAGCAGGGAGCGGGGCACCTGTCAAGGGGTGGGACTACCCTTGTGGCCCTTGACAGCTTACCAAAACTCATTAAGTGGCCCTCCAGCTGAAATAGTTGCCTACCCTTGTTCTAAACCATGAAATGCCTAGAGCAGATGCAGTGCAGAACAAATCTAAGTTT